TACATGTCAACAAATTTTGTCAGAGGAACTGAACATGAGGAGGATTGCAGCGAAGTTTGTGCCACGACTGCTGCAAAATGAACAGAAGCAGCATCGCTTGGAAATGTGTAGGGAACTTCAACAACAGCTTCAAGAGGATCCAGACTTTCTTTCGAAGGTTGTCACTGGGGACGAAAGTTGAGTTTATGACTGCGACCCTGAAGGTAAGCAGCAATCGTCACTATGGAAGAGCCCTTCTTCACCATGGCCAAAAAAAGCTCGCCAAGTCAAGAGCAACATTAAGCCCATGTTGATCTTTTTTTTATATATATTAACGGGATTATCCATAAGGAGTTCGTCCCTCCTGGTCAGACAGTCAATAAAGAGTTCTGTCACAATGTTCTAAGATGTGCGAGGGAGGACATGAGAAAACGTCCAGAGAAGTGGCCCATGAATGACTGGGTACTCCACCATGACAATGCATGACCACATACAGCTTACATTGTGCAGGAATTTTTGGCTAAAAACAAGATGCAGTTCCCAACCCACTGTACTCGCCAGACTTAACTCCATGGAACTTCTTTCTCTCCCCAAGATGAAAATCAAGTTGAAGGGGCAAAGATTTGATACAGTTGAAATTGGAGCGGAAACACAGACGGTACTAAACACCCTAACAAAGAAAAACTTCCAGGATGCCTTTCAAAAGTGGCAGAAATGCTTGGATTGGTGTGTGCGCTCCCAAGGGGTCTACTTTGTATGTGATGGTGCAGAATAAGATCCATGTAAAACATAATAGTTTATATTAATATATTTTGGGAACTTTTGGATTGCACCATGTATATGTTGATGTCATTTAAATGTAGGGCAAAATTGTAACATGAAGATAATGAATTGATACTTTGGAAGTGTGTCACAGTGAAAATATTTGAGAATGTCAGTACCAAATCAAAATTTGATTCATGAGGAAGTTAAGAGCAGATCAAATTAGGGTATTGCTTGCTACCATTAAGTTCAGAACCTTTTGTCTTCTCATCTGCTCTCTAAAAACATAAAAATTAGAAGATATGAAACTATAATTTTGCCTGTGTTCTTGTATGGGAGTTAAACTTGGTCTGATTCATATTGTGGTCTTCTGGCTGTGATATATTGTTTTCGGTATTGTTTTGGAGGTATTTCTGCTCCTCTGAATTGTTGGTACCCACTACAGCATGATGTCATAATGCTAAAGATCATGATGTCTTCTTAGTTTCTTTATACCATGCTGGCAGCAACTGAGTTTCTGTTTTTTTCATTACTGCAGTGTCTCTCCAAGCATCAGGATGTACCTAGAAATAGGCTATAGCCACTGACTCCCCAGTCATATCATGTTTACCAATTGTAAGCACTCACTTGTATCAGTCACTTCCTCATACCTTCTGCAGTTGACATAGCATCGTTAGATGATCATTGTGAATATGTTGCTGCGTGATTGCCATTGTCCGTAAATAAGTGCATAGAAAGCTAAGAGTATGTTCATAGACAGAGTCATACAATAGAAAAAAGTAATAAGCTATCTGTTGGAGAATGGATCGAAGTTCACATTGTCATGAGACTGATGGGGAGGGGAGAAGGGCAGCTTGACTAGTGCATGCTGCTCTGTGTTGAAACTTTGATAATTCCTGTTGCCCCCCCCCATTCTTCTTCTTTCCATCAAAGGCTAGAATTGGAATTGCATGGTCACAGTTATAGCCAGCATAAAGTTATGGTTGTGCAATCAGTGGTCTGAGTCGGATCATGAGCGTGGAAGTGGTGTATAGTGGTCATGTGTAAACACATGAAACAGTGTGTACATTAAGGTGAGAAGCTAATTCAGCACTTGTAATGCAAGACAGTGCAACCTTGATATTACAACAATTTTTGAAGTATGTAACTACGCATTCCTCATCCAGAGATCAGTTACATACAATGCAGTATGGCATCAAGGATTGAAGTAATGTTGTTATAGCTGTATGTCTTCTTTTTCTCCCCCCCCCTCCTCATCTTCTTTCTCCTTCCTCCTCCTCCTAATAGGCCATAAATACAAATGCAAATATGGAACAGCAAAATCTGAAATTATTTATACAGAAAGCGACAAATTATGTTTTGGGGAAAAGACATCACGGATAGAAAAAGGAGACTGAAGTTGTGAAATTCCAAAATAAGCAACTTTATAATAAAAGGAAAAAAACATTTTTATAACATACAATCAGAATCGTATATAGTCAGAACTGAATAAAAAAGCATGTTCTGGGAAAGTGGGAAAGATAGGATAAGTATGTTCTTCACACTGAACATGATTAGCTTAAACTCAGGATTAGTAGGTTTTTGGCCTTTGTCCGTCTCTCAATATTCTCAAGAACGCAGCGTTTCAGAAACGGAATCTTATTTCTGTCCACAGGTGAGGGGTTGGGAGATACCTACTCTAGTGGGTCCTTTAGAAATGGTGGGTTGGTATTCTAAGGAACACAGTCTGTCTGGCCCATGAGAAAGGACCAAAGACTCCAGTTTCTGAAATATTGTGTCATATGTTGTTCATTTGAATGCTGGAAGATGGACAAAGTCCGAAGACCTAGTAATCCTACATGTTAGAAGCACATGCTCATGCATATGTGTGAAAATAATTGATTCGAACTAGAGTAACAGATGTAACGCACAAAACAGTTAAAATCGCACCTGTTCTTATGTGCAACTATGTTACGGACTCTAAATCCTATGATTGGAATGCACCTAGCTTTCTAACATTACAGACATAAGGGACGATAGGAATTGGTCATTACATTTCATTGTAAATTACATGTTAAAAGTAACAGCATGTAAGCTGTGCATGAAACCATAACTAAGTTTTGTAACCGAAGCCAGTGAACACATTTCAATTCAACACTTTGCAGTCAGTATAACAAATGGCTATGGGTTGGAGTTTGAATTCCAGTGAGGGCAGGATTTTCTCCTCTCCATTTCATCCAGACTGGGTCTGGGCGCCACCCAAACTCCCATCCATTGGGTACTGGGGGCTCTATCCCCAAGATTGAAACGGCCAATGCGTGAAGCTGACCACTCACCTTCACGTAGTGCTTAGGTCAAGAATATGTGGTTCTGTACATCCACTCCCCCATATGTCTTCATGGTATGCTTCTAAATTAGTTAAGCATGAGGACAGCTTTATGTTATTTACATTACATCTACATAGACTGAAGGTACTTAGAAACGGATTGCTGAGGAGAATATTTGGGCCAGAGAGGGATGAAATATATGTAGAAGGTTTGTGAAAACTACATAATGAACTTGTACTCTTCATCAAATATAATTGGAAGAATGAAGTCGAGGATGTGATGGGCAGTTTTGGTAATTTGCATGGTGGAGAAAATGTGTTTATAAAGGACTTTGGTGGATATTCCAAAAGGAAAGAGACCACTAGGAAGATCCAGACATGGGTGGAATGATATTAGAGAAACAGGATGGGGTGATATGGAATGGACTTACCTGGCTCACAGTGAGCAGTGGAGAGGTCTTGTGAACACAGTAGTGAACTTCTGGGTTCCATAACATGATGGGAAATTCTTGAGTAGCTGAGCAAGTGGTTGCTTTTGAAGGAGGACTAAGCTCCATTGAGTTGGGTACAGGAGTTTGACAGAACACAGGTTGAATGGGCACCAGAAGGAGGAAGAAAGTGCAGCCAGAATGGTTTAAGAAAACAAATGAACTAATAATCTGGAAGATCTTCCTCCTCAAACATTATGTAGGAAGTTCCACTTTTTCTCAGAGGCAACCTTCCCCTGAAGATTGTTAAGGGGAGGGCATAGGAACAAAAGATAAATGTGCTATGCGATGTCTTCATATGGTTGGAATTAGGTGCTGTTCAGTATGCACTACAAGTTCCAAAATTGCATGCTGACCAATATACAGTAAACTCCCTGTTATCTGCCATGTATAGGCAATGTGATGACCAGTTGCATGCTAAAAACTTACATAAACCCTGCACAGAGTCAAAACAACACATATTAACTTTAGTTCTGGCATTGGAGTCCTCCTAGGCAACATAGGAGATTGACTGGTGAAAGATTTTCAAATACTGTAACATGATCACGAATTCAACTGTCCTCTACTTTAATGGAATCTGCATGATGGGTGACATTGCTAGTGGCAGGTGAACATATGCTCATTACTCTTTTGGTTTTGGATAACATTGTAGAAATATATAAACTACAGGCTTGTGGTGTCAAAGGCATTGTAAAATGAGTTAACCAATCACTGGACCACCTCTGCCCATTCCACTATTCCACCTTTCATCTGTTATGTCACAATATTGAAAGGGCATTTGTTTAACTGTTTCAGGAGGAGCCAAACACGAAAAATTTGAAAATCACTGCTCTAGATTGTTAAACTAATGTAGGGGCAATGAACCTGAGAACATAGATAATCCAAAATTATACATGTGTTGGTACACAGAAACATATAATCCGAAATTATGTTTTCAAGTTGCATTCTCTCATTATCTTCCCACACCATTGCAAGTAATAACTGTAATTGTAATTGTAGCATTTACTAGTATAATAGCACTACAGTGTTACATTGTGGAAGAGGGAGGCTTGGTTTGTACTGTCCCTGCAATTTGTAACATGCCTTAATAACAGGTAAGATAAAGTTGTCTGTGTGCTTTAAGTACGTGCTGTGGCATGAAGATGTATGGGGAATGCCCTGGCTGCTTTAGTCTCAGGGAAAGAGCCCTTGCTACCTGTTGGATAGGAGGCTGGGTGTGTCCCAGAACTGTTTTAGATGCTGTGGAGAAGAAAAAAAAATCTCTTGCCTTGCCCTGGACTCAAATCAAAGATGTCTAACCCATAGCTTGTTGACTGAGTGAGCTACTGTGGCTGCTCCCTGGCAGCAGGACATAAAATAGTTTTAATATTTGATACAGAATGCTCAACTAATCAGTCTATTAGAATAAGTATTGTTAATAAAGAAACATATAACAAGACTGAGGAGTACTGTATTGTTTATTTCAGGGTCCGCACTCAACAGCTAACAAGGATTCAGAAGTCAAGAAACACAAAATAAAAATTATCTGGCCATGAAGTGAAAAGAGAAATGTGTTGGTATACTTTAACCTTTTGCAGTCTATCATTTTTCATGTTTATTCTGTGTTTGTCCAAATTAATTTTCTTCTTCTGAGATGTGATACCATGTAGTCCAATAGAATTCCCTGATGTTGTGGAGGAATTTACTGCCCTGTCTAAAGAGCAAGCCAAGCTTGCTAGCAGCAAGCAAGTTTTGCTTACTCTTTTCTTGACCCAGAAGATGGAGGTAGTACATTCTTCCAAAATAATGAACTTCTGCCAGACTACAGGGCATCGCATCCCAGACGATAGCACTTTTTGTGTGCACAGCTGTGAGAACCTCAAATGCTACAGTGTTACACTTATTTTGACTGTTGCACTGTGCATGACAGGACCAGAAGAGAAGATGATTAATTTCATACTCAGTTGGACTACAAGGGGCCCTTCTTTCCATGCTCAGTCCTTATGGATTCATACTTAATTATAATAAGACTTACACACATCTGGGTCCCATGACTGAAATATGAAATTGTTTTGACATAAGGATGTCCTTGGGACATTGTCCATTATTCGAGGTTATAATTTTAGGGTCTCCATATATCTGTGGACCCAGAAGGTTTGAGAATACCAACAATTACTGCAATGTGAACACCAGTTATAATGATAAGTCTCTGATGAGCAGTAGAGGTGCAGTTTCTACACAGAGTAGCAGGTTATACTCTGTGGGACAAGGAAAGAAGTGACAAAATAAGGTCACAACTAGGAATGAAGAACTTGGACAAATAAATACAAAGAAGGAAGAAAGATTGGCTGAAACATCTGCAGAGGATGTCATCACAAAGAACTCCAAAGCAATTCTTATATTATCAACCAATAGGAAGACAGAAGAAAATGAGTAGATGGTTTGATGTTTCAGGATAGAACAGACTAAGAAGTTCAACCCATTCAGACGATGATGATGAAGTCTTAGGTTGCTTCCTTTCTTTGCCTGAACCATAATAATTTTTAAATACGTTGATAAAACAAGATGCAAAGAAATTAAGATAATGGTGGTTATATATGTGGCTGCTTGTAAATAATTAATTTTTTAGCATTGTAGACTTCCTCATTTTCTCAAAGGTTGTGTTTATTTTATTGTTTAAATCGAATAACTTTAACACATATATGATGAATGGCATGGAAACCTGATGTCTTATAGCATCCAGCTTCCTATAGCATCTGTAGAGATCTTAAATTTTCTAATATGTTAACAGGTTAGAAAGATATAATCATGTAAATTGGGCTATCAACACAACATAGAAGTATCTTCAGGGTGAAGACAAAATAGATACTACTGTATCACTATTGTTTATTTATTATGCAGAGATGTACACTACATGTTTCAACCCTTTCTAGATCATCAGGCAAGTTACAAGAGAAACAAACTAAGTTCTTGAAGAAGATTGGAAAGATATATATTAGATAGTAGTGGCACATGTGGAATACCTTCACAGACTAATCATAATGTAGCATGTAGACCCTTTGCTAAGTAATGGCTCTGTATACAACGGCTTTTGCTAGGTAATGGCCACAACAGATATCTAATATGCAACAATGAACTAACGGGAAGTGTTCTCTATGTGGTCAGTGCAACAGCTACATGGCAAAACAATGGAAGAGCTGTTGAAAGAGGTGTTTTCTGTGCTCTCCATGCCAAGGTGTTGCAAGCAGGACAGATCTACAGTTTAGTTAGTTGAGAGACCATTACTGGGTAGTAAGGACATGAACACAGAAGTTGAGGGATCTGCGGCATTGGAAGCCTTACTAGATGACAACTGGTGAAGATACATCAGACTGAGAAGACTTAGTACATGATGTAGTGAACTGCTGAGTGTGTGAATTAGAGATACCTTTATAGTTGCTTGTACGTAAGTCATTTCAGAAATAATGCACACAATTTTTTGTTTACGTCCCTGTTTATTTTTTAATATCTATTTACAGTCCTTCAATACGAATATAGTCGCCCTACTTCTCAATGACCGAATCCCAACATGTGGGAAGCTTTACTAGTCCATCCAGGACACCATCTTTGTTTATCTGTCAAATGGCTCAGTAATTGCAGCAGAAAGCTCTTCCAGAGAAGGAAAGCAATGGCCTTGCATAGGTTGTTTCAACTTTGGGAATAAGTCGAAGTCTGGTGGACTCATGTCCGGGCTGTAGGGAGCATGAGACAACACCTCCCAACCATATTGGCACAGCTTTTCTGTTACGACATTCCCAATGTGCGGGCGAGTGTTGTCATGGAGAAGATCGGCGCAGCCTCAAGCAACTGAGGTTGATTTTTGTGCATTTTTCTTTGCAGATTTTGCATAAAGTCACAGTAATAAACTGCTGTGACACTTTTCCCACATGGAACTCTGTCATGATGATTCCTTGGTGATCATAAGCAAAGCTCATCATTTGTTTGACCTTTGATTGAGATCATCGAAATATTTTTGGTCATGGGGAAGATGGACCTCTCCACTTGGACTGTGATTTCAGCTCCGGTTGTATTCCATATTGAGGGGGTGGGTTTCCCCATGCCCTTAGACCGGTTAGTGGTCCATTGTGCGTCCCCCTTTAATTTCTACTGTCTCCATACCCTACCGGTACTGGTGCTTACTATCAGCCCCTTTCTGCCAGCGAGGTTCCAACCTCCTCTGGCAGTGGTATCTAATAGTTAGTCCCTTTCTGTCAGAGAGGTCCCCCCTCCTCTGGCAGTGGTACCTAATACTTCCCCCATCTACCGGAGGAATTGGAAACTACTTGGGTGGGAAATGTTGCCTAATTTTGCTCAGAGGTCTCCTAGAGACATGAGGTTCTTTTACGTGCCGTAAATCTACGACATGGGACCCACGGCTTAAAGTCCCTCCCGGAGGACTTGTTCCCTGAATTTTTCTGCCCTTAAAAATTCCACGACCTCCACCGGGTTTTTGAACCCGCGTACTACGAGTCATGAGGTGGGAACGTTACCTCTAGACTACGGAGGCCGCTTCAGCTCCGGTTCTAAGTCTCTAACCCACATTTCATCAATAGTGACAAGTCGATACAAGAATGCTTGACCTTCACCGTTGAATCTTTGTTTCAGCAAGGTTGCAATGTCAAGGCGTTTCTGCTTCTGTTCAGCGATCAAGCAGTGAGGGATCCATATCACGGAAATCATTTGTCAGAATTTGGAACATTGACGTTGGTGGAATCCCCATGGTTTCAGAAAGTTCCTCACATGTCTCATGACGATCTTCACGAGCATCTGACACAAGTTTCACACTTCATTCATCTGTTGATGTTTTCGGCCTTCCTGGCCTTGGATCATCGTTTATGCTCACACAACCACCACGGAAATGACTAGCCCAGCACGAAACTGTACTACAGTCCACTGTTAACTCACCACAAACTTCACTTAAAGCACTGTGGATTTCTGTCAGGTTTTTTCCACATAATGTTTCGATCTTAATGTGCCACCTTTGATCTTCAACAGTCACAATACCCGAGAACCGTGCAGGTTCCATTTCTACCTCACGTTATTTAAGAACAGAGTACATTATAAATGAAACAAAATAATCCCCTTTTTTTTTTTAATTATTTCATTTTTGGTCCGTTAACTTATTAACTTCTATTAACTTTGTAACGCTCTTCTTTCTCAAGCCCTGAACTGTAACTGATGTGAGGGTCACTGTTGTTGCACCATCTAATCCGCAGTGTTGCCAACCTGTGCATTATTTATGAAATGACCCACATAGTTACAATCTGCAAGTGTTTAATGAACCCAATTACCAATCCAAAACCCATCTATAGTCACTGATGCATGTGACAATATCATTGAAAGATCTGCCACTCTGACTCATTGGGGTGGGGGGGGGAGTATGTCTGACCCCTAAACTGAAAGCAACCTTGCGTGGAGGAAATATAACTCTGGCGTATGATGCTGTAACCATACAGATTGCACAGACAATGAGGTAAAACCTTGAAATGAAAAACTAAGTGGTCATTTCATTGTATAAATTGTATGAAGTGAGCTTGAATTGTAGGCATGGTACACTTTTTTCTGCTAATTAATTAAAATTCACTCAACCAAATGGTTCATAAATAATAAAAAATGCAATCCTTCTATGACCTTACCTAAATTTTGAAGTGTACACTATCTGTTTGGAAAGTAAAGTCGCTTTGTTAGACTCTGCATCATGAGGGGAAGTAAAAATTAAGCTCCACATATTCTTATTCATAATATGCACTGGAGGCAAGTGGTCATCTTTGTGCTCTTGCACATTTTCCTCTGAGTAAAGTAGAGAGGTGGATAAGCTATAAAGACTGTTCTCAATATGATTAAGATAAATATTCCTGCCAACTGACTGATGACTATCAATAATTATTCTATTATAATCAGATGCAGGATATAGCTAGTCATTTCACTAACTGAGCAATCTGATCTCTTAACATTTCAAACATTTAATGAACAATCCAGTATCAATGATATGAAATACTGATATGTATACAGGCAAAGGACACACACACACACACACAGTTTAAAATGTGAAATGTCCCACCCTATGACAAAATACCAGCTTTCAAACAATTACATAATCTTGACAAAGCATATTAAAGGAACAGCCAAGATGTTTGTTACAACCATTCTGTTCAATTGAACTAAACCAGAAAGTGCGAAAGTTCTTGTTTTCATCTATATACATGACTGCAGCCATAAGCGGACACATGATCTTCGTGTGGTCCATGAAGTTGATCTGTAGGGTTCCATTTGTGAGGAGCATAATTACTGGTTCAAGTAAGGCACTCTGCTTAGAGAGTCACATTCACGAATTGGAACCATTGCACCAGCTTTCACTAGATGTTCAGTCATACGACAACAATTTCATCATCTTGTCCAATGTGTGTGTTCCAACATAGGAACATAGTTTATGTTGGTAGGAATACTAAAGTTTCTTCTCAAGCAAAAGTTGCAAACAGTTGAAGTAAGCGTTGTTAGGTGTGTTAGAGGTCTGCCAAGACAGCTGTAAAACTGCTGCAAATTCAACTTTCCTGCAGAAACCTGAAGCCCCCAACTGCAATGAAAGTAGAAACACTAGGAGCATTCAAAAATGATTGACACCAAATGTTTTTCTTCACAGTAACCATTTATTGGAACAAAATAGATACAGATTATATTAGAGGTATTCCCCTCCAATGTCTATGCACTTTGCCATCGTTCAGCAGTTTCCATAATTACACAGCAAGCCATTCTTTGGGGTATCCCAGCGCCAATGCTGGACAACTGTCCGAAGCTTGTCTTACCACCGCGTGACGTCTTTCATTGCTTCGAATAGAGCGTAGTCGCTAGGGGCAAGATCGGGCGAGTATGGCGAATGGGGTAGCACGGTGTAGGTAGCACGGTGTACCATGGTAATGGTCTGCCGACTGCCATGCGGCTGCGCGCCCATTTTCCGTGGATGAGTTGGCGCAGTGAATTCCAGTACGGATCACTATCAATGGGGCAGCCAATCCAACAGAAGGATCCCAGAACACAGTCGCCACTTGCTTCGGGGCGAATAGTCCCGGTCGTGACTTCTTGGGAAGAGGTCTCCCGGCGTGCTTCCACTCCATGGACTGGCTAACCTCGTGTGAATATGTGGAGCAGCCACTCCTTCCCTCCAGAGAAACCGCACAGTCCACCGTTGCCCGTGACTGTCTGCTTCCATGTTGTCTGATCGTTGTCCACAACTGCACCTGCACACCGCCACGAATGACGCAGCACTGTTCGACCTGTGCGCAGTAGCAACGTCATCTCGTGGCCATGAGCGTCACTGTAGTATGTCTTCCCACATACA